CTCCTCATTAACTTCTAGTTTAATGAATAAACTACAGAACATTCTTTGTACCAGTAATAACAGAGAATATTTATTTAACAGCTACATATTACTCGCACTGCCACTGCTAAAAAAAGATGCTACTAAATTACATTTTATTGTTGTTGTTTCTACTTCTTCTTGCATCCCCTCCTTACTACGATCATCTTAAAATCTTTCTTTGCACTTTTCACTGTTCGTATTTTAACAAGCTATCATAGTATAAATACTCTTCACCCTTTGCTATCCATTCAACACACTGCACTCCTCCAATACTCACCCTCATTATATTGCTAGAACTCTCTCCCCAACCATAGGAGACCTGAACCTTCATCTGATGTTTACATCCACAATTTTCCAACCACCGTTTTTTATTATCTCTTTGTGCTGTCCTGATTTTATTTCATTTTTTTTTTATAATTTTAATTTCTACTTACTTTATATTTTTCTGTATTTCTAAGTCCCTACCTTTATCCACAATTGTTTTATTTCCTTTACTGATTGCTGACCTTACTATACTGTACATACAAGGCTCTTCAATGTATAACACATAATACTCCCCTACTTGAATATTCCACATTTGTTTTTAGGTATAGTGCGAATACTTGCTTTACATCCATCCTTTAGCTCCCATAATGATTTTCACATTTTTTTCCTTTAATACTTCAATTTACATCTTACTTTCATTTGTTCTAGCCCATGTAACTGTGTAATGAGCTAATCATTTTTTTTTTCAAGATTATCTCCTTGGTGACTGAGGCCACTTCAGTGAAGCAACTAAAATGTATCTGCAATTCAATTAGCAAATATTGAGATGTATTCTGATATTATGGATCCCTAATGGTTATATGTCACTACCTGGTTGCTACAGCAACAAGTAAAACATGAAAATAAAATCCAGAGTGAAATCAAAGGCTACGTTCACACTGCAGGCCTTAATGCTCAATTCCGATTTTTTTGTGAAATCGGATTTTTTTGCGTGTCCGTTCACACTTCCAAGTATATGCGACTTGTATGTGATCTGCTGTGTGAACTGAAAGTGTTCAACCGAAGCGTCCCGCATGCGCACTCGAGGACGCGATGACGTCACATGTAGCAAGCGTCCTCAGTGTTTGCGGAAGTAAACATGACTCGTAATACCGCAGCGTATATTGCGTTCTTTAAAGCTACAGTGTGTAATTTTTACAGGAATATAAAGTCAGAAATGTAATATATTATACATAACTATGTTATTTATCATCACCTTGAGCTCAGCCTTTTAACCATAATATTTGCGTTGCCTTAGAATTCGTTATTTATAATTACATAGGAGCGGGTCGCGCAGCCATGGGGGCTGACATCTTTGCTCTACGGCAAGTGCAGAGGCAATAAACTAGCGATTGCGAGATCTCCCATTACGCTCGAAAATAACTACGGCAAGTTGAGAGAGATGAACTGAGATGGTACTGAACAGTAGATGGCAGTATTATGCCTGAGAAGCGTTTAGTCTGCCTGAAACCAAAGAAGAAGAAGAAGCAGGTATACGGCGCTTCAGTAACAACAAAGGTGAACAAGGCGGCAGGCGTGAGTGACTTGGCAAACTGTTTGGCACTGTGTGGCCAAACATCAGACGAATGGAGGATCATGCCTACTCTGTATCACAACGAAAAGCGGCGGACACCGAACCCCCGTCATCTAAGAAGCGGAAACACGACAAGAATAAACTCAAGCGTGACAAGAAACGGCAAAAAACACGGATCAACATTGGCACGGCATTTCCACGATGGAAGTCACTGATGGAGGAAAAAGGTTTTCAAAGTGACGCTCAAGTTGCCAGTTTTCTCTTGGACAGGTAATTAATCCTACACACACAATTGTCTTTTTATACACGTAATACCCCACCCCCACATCCCGTTTCAACCAAACTATTGTCAAGATGTCAGGTAGCATTACCTAGATAAGGCCACAGCTTCATAAAATTACCACAGCTGATAGTGGCGTGTGTGAGTGTGAGAGAGACAGATATATGAAGCTGCATATTAGCGAGCTACGTGCCAGGCAGCAGACTTATCACTGGATTTATCTAACACTTGTATCTGATAGCTGTTTATCACGTATACAGGTATATTTCAATATTGTAAGTCTAGGCAAGCCATTCCTCTCAGCTTCATCTTATGTACGGTAACAGCAATTATTACAGCTGTGTGTGACTCTGTAACCTCAGATGTGTCACTGGTCCTACAGCTATGAGAGAAGTCCTTCAGCGTCTACTCCGATGAAGGGAAAACCCTCTCTTGTGACAGCCCCAGCTCTGTCAACGATTGGTGCTTCTAGTGGCACAGAAAGGCAAGTCATCACTCTGAAACTATTGTGGTCCCAACACACTTCATAACCTGATTGTAGTTTTGTTGTATTGTGACATTGGTTCAGTAATAAATAAAGCTACTCTAAGATTCTGATGCTAATAAAATAGCAAGTGAGTCAGCTTTCTGTAGTGTTTACCGTCGCTCTCCATATGTGTAAAGAAACATGCTGTGATTATACTTTACAGAGAGGAGCATTTGGATGTAATTGCAGGAGCTACAGAAATTCAGAGCCTGGAGCAAAGGTAACAGCTAACTTGTACCATCTTTGAGCTATGTCATCTTCTTTTATAAACTTATAATTGGTGTATTTTTTTTATTTTTTAACAGCTTACAGGACATGAGTATTGTTGAGGAGGAGATGGGGGAAAATGTTTTCAATGATCTGTTGAATAGTGTGTAAGTGATACTTTCTAACTATTCTAAATGTGCTGTGAACGATTTTTATATTTTTAATTTTTTTTGTTCCCCCCTAATTTTCCCTTCTTTACAGAATCGATTGGACAGATGAAGGTTCTTCCAACATTCATCCCAAAAGTGATGATGACAAGAATTATGACAGCTCAGATGAAGAGTATTTTCCACCTATTTGTATACGGTATGTCATCACTCATTCTTTGTACTGCTACTGTTGTGTGGTATTATAGTTTTTTTTTTGTCAAATTATTTGTTGCACACATGCTTTCATTATGTGTCTCAATAGAATGGGTGGAGCACTTAAAGGACTATCAATTGATGAACTTCCAGTTATTGGACTAGATGAAACTGTACATGATCAGCCTGCACGTGAAGATCCTCCTGATGAGCCACCATGTGATGAAGCACCTGCTTTCCCACAGCCACTGCATGTCCTCTGTGAGGATGACATCGGTGCCAGAGCAGCAATAGTTTATGAAGACTGCTTGAAACAACTGGCCACATTTCTGATCCTGCCGGTGGATAAGTGTACAGCTCTTCTTCAGACTGGCACGTTTTGCAACAGCAGTGCCCCATTTGAGATAAACATCGCTACCAAGGGGACAGCAATAAGTGTGGAATGGGTAAGTCTAGACCCTTGTGGCACATCGTAAGATTATGGTTGTCTAGCTATGACAATTTTCTAGTGGAAGCCAGTATTATTTATTTATTTATTTATTTATTCGCATGTCTTTGACTTTTAGGTCTGTCCCAAAGGACACAGCTTGTGGAGATGGAATTCCCAGGCAAAAATGAAGTTTGGGATGCAAATAGGAGATTTTCTCTTGTCCACCAACATTTTACTGTCTGGCAATAACTATGCAAAGGTTGCCCTTTTGTTCAAATTTATGAACATGGGGATGGTGAACAAGAACACCTTCTTCTCCATTCAGGACAGTTACTGTGTTGACACCATAAAAGACTTCTGGGAAGAGAGGAGGAGTGAGGCCCTCAGTTCCCTTCAAGGGAAAGATGTTGTTGTTCTAGGTACATAGCTCAACGAGTAATAAAGACATTAGACAAGGACAGTGTGATTGTAAGCAGCTGATCATTTTATTTTTTGCCTTTTTGTATTTGTTACTTTTTCAGCGGATGGAAGAAATGACTCACCAGGCCACTGTGCACAGTACTGCAGCTACACCACCATGGAGAATGACACCAAAGAGATCATTCATGTTGCCACCATTGACAAGCGGCACACATCCTGGAACTCTGTTGTCATGGAGAGGGAGGGCTTTATCCAGACTGTAGACAAGCTAACATCAGAGATAAAGCTTGTAGAGGTCTGCACTGATGCTCATGCCCAGATTGGGGCCCTTATGAGTAAGGCTTTATCTGATAAAGTGTATGAATTTCTTTGTTTTAAACATTACTAGAATACTGTAGTGATATTGTATGTTTCTCTACTTTGCAGACCCAGATAAAGGCAAATACAAGGCACTTGGAATTCATCACAGTCTGGACATGTGGCATGGTGCCAAAAACCTGGCTAAAAAAATAGCAGCTGTAAGTTAAAAAATGGCTCAAATGTTATCATTTACATTAATTATAAAGTGATGACTGTATAGGCATCTACAGTATGACTGAAGTTAGCTAATCAATCAGGTGTATTCTTCAACATTAAAATGTGTCTACTTTTACCCTTACATGTAATATGGTTGAATACCTTATGTCATTTGCCTTTTATATATGTTTTGTTTTTCTGCTAAAGGCAGCAAAAATCAAAGGACAATCAACCCTCTTTGTCTGGCTGAAAGACATTGTGACACAACTGAGCAGTTTCTTGTAAGTGCATATGTGTATGAGAATTTGCACACATATTTAATGTAGTTCAGGATACAGTTTGTGTATGAAAAAGACAGTGCTTTTCTACTTTCTACACAGACACTATGGATTGGCATCACCCACCATGTGTGCAACATTCACACATGGAAAACAGGAAAATGCGAACATGGACATCTGGAAGAACTGCATGGAAAGGAGTGGATCCAGAGAGACTCCAAATGCCACAAAGCTTTAATAGACATTATTCTCAATAAGCGTTGGCAGAAGAATGTTCATAAATACCTACGCCTCAGGTAAAGTGCATCTAAATGCTTCACACAAAATCACATTGTGTACATTATACTATTCTGTGGTTGTTTTTCCAAACACTGAAGTTTACAATTACTGTTCAATCAGATCAACTGCTGACCTAGAAGCATTCCAGAACCATATTCTGATGTATGCCAGCAAGCGTCATGCTTTCAGTCCCCCAGTTTATGAGGCAAGAGTTCTGCTGGCTGCTCTTGACTACAACTTCCATCGGAACCGACCTACAATGAAAACAGCCGAAGGCAAAGAGATGTAAGTCTAATAAACTTACAACTAAATACTCCCAGTAACTACAGCACATACTGACACTCTTAATCTATGTTTTTTTAAAAGAGCTTATTTATTTTTTTCTTTTGTGGGGGAAAAAAAACTGACTCTGAAGTGTTGTAATCTGTCTAATTAGTTTCAGAAGGCTGTACAACAAAAACGCCAGAAGATACAGTGTATATGCCCTGAAATCTGAAAAAAACTACAGCTATATCCCGGAGCTGCAGGAACGAATTCTTAAAAGAAGACTTGTGACTGAGGTGGGGATGCCGCGAAGACGGAGCCTTCGACCAGATGACCCCAGGAGGCTCGGTTTGGTGCCCCCCATAACTGCACCTGCCACATCAGAACTTGTGCCAACACAAGTCAAGAGAGGTCTAGGTAAGTCACACACATTTATTTGCCTCAATTGTGGCATATTAGGGTATAGCTTGCATGAAAAGTGAAGTAAGATGTTGACCACAAACAGAAATCAGTGCAATACTATACTAACTACTTGTATCATGACACTGTCTCCAACAGGACCAGTCTTCAGTCCACCTGATGATATGTGATTCAGACATCCTGCTTCATACAACATGAAAAAAAGTTGTAATGAACGAGTTCAGATGTGTACAGATATTGCTGGGAAATATATTCCCCTTTTGCACAAGTGAAAATATCTATGTCACTGCAGTAAATAAATGATGCATAGCTGGTGATCCGCTGTTTTTCTTATAGCTATTGTATTTTTTATACAAATTTGAGTTGAAGGCAGAACTACAGGATGATAGGGTGCATTTAGCTTTCAGTTCAAACAAGAAATTATACTTTATTTTTTGACTTTGTCAAAGACAGTTCTGGTGAAGATGAAATGAGCTGTTTACAACTATTTATACACTAGAAACTGCAGGTTTATGATTGTACAATGTTTCTATTTATATTGTCAAGATTTGAAGAGATGGCCAAAATATTTAACTTGGAAATTATTTAGATTATAAACTGTGTCAACATAAGTTATTTTTGTAGATTCCTCTTTGGGTTAAAATTACATGGACAAAGCTGATCCCTGTGATAACACAAGTACATTAGTGTAGCCTGAATTAGAAATTATCATTTACAAACATAACAGGAAAGTACTTTTTCTATGGGTCCATGCTTATATGTATATACTGACAAATACAACAGGTATATGTAATTTTTTAGATTTTATTTACAATTGCAAAAACAAATAACTTTCACAAATAAATAATTTAATACAAAATAATTCCTGGACAAAGTTGCAGTGAAAAAAATAGAACATACTTTGAAAGATAATAAAAAATAGTAAAGTCTAACCACAAAAAAAGGAAAAATAGCTTTGATGCCCTGATGATGTTCACACAGGTTTGTGAGCACTTGTGGTCCTGTATTGACATGCCAGAGGGCCAGGGAGAATACTCAGATGCCTGGTATGAATCCTGTGTAATGTCCAGTGGGGTTAGGGAACTTGTCCCTGATGCTCCAAACACAGCAGCTGGGGATGACAACACGGTTTCCCTGGCCTAAAGAGCCATGTTGCCAGAAAATAAAATGCCTATATGCTGCATAACGGTACTCCCGGTTGTCATCCCCAGGCCCCCTAACTTGCCCAAATACTGTCAGTTCCTCCCTGTACTGCCTATGAATACGTAAAAAACCTTCTTCCAAGCAGTACTGGGAGAAGTGAGGTAGCCGGCTTACACAGTGAGCTGGATCCTGGCCACAGCATATCCTCTCCCGGTCTGTAGGCATGTCCCTGCAGTTACCACAAGTACACCATGGTACTCCCTGTACACCAGTAAACGGTGGGGCACCATGCCTGAGCTGATGCATCATCAGGGCATCAAAAAGTAGTCCTGGCTGCCTCTCCAGGAGCTGGGTGGTGAGCTCCCTGTGCTCCTCCAGGGTCATCTCCCCAATAAGTCTCTGAGAAAATTAAACACAGGACAAATACATGTAATGTTTTAATATATTATCAAATGCTAATATCACTGCAGTTTTTGGAGTACATGATGCTCAGACCTGTCTAAAACAGTAACATGCTGCGTGATGATGCTGTTACTCTCCAGTATACTTATTCAGCAACGTCCCTGACGTTTCACAGGTAATGATTCAGTAATTTTCTGTAAAATAATTTTCTGGATATATACCTCGGTTACTTCTCTCCGGCTCCTTTGGAGATCTTCAAGCCTTTCCTCCTCTGATCTAGTCACCCCGCTGGCTCCTCTCCCTCGCCTGGCCCTGGCTGCACGCCCAGCCCGGCCTCTCTGCCCTCTTCCTCTCCCTTTTCCTCGCCTTGTAACCCCCGTGCCACAAACAAGACTTGGACTCTGTAAACGGGGAATATATATTCTTCCAGCGAACACAATCTCGCTGTTAAACTAATGAATACAATTACTTCGTCTGTTTATATCACCATGCAAAGCAGCTCACCAAAACGTCACAACGATGTAGAAAAAATAACGGGTATATTCATTATCTAAAGTCTACATGAAATCTATACCCTACACAGACTAATGAAATACTATCTGTAAAATTATCTATGTAAACAAACCTCATCACTTGAGAAGGTAGGTGATTCCGACGTCGTGGAAGACATTTTGTCCCATAACGCTCGCCGTACTGTTGGGGGGAGAAGCGGTGGGGGGGAGATGTTCATGTTGCTGCAGTCTGCAGTCTGGACGTTAGATGTCGCTGAAAATTACACACTGTAGCTTTAAGTTCTTCTCCAACAGGAGCAGGCACATTACGAACGAAATCTTTTTAAGAAGATCAAAAAGAAAGAGAGCCAGGTTCCGGTAAGACCCTTCGAGTTTGGTCTGAATCGAGCTATCTTTCCAAATATGAATTAAGTCAGCAACCTCACTTTCTCTCCATTGACTGCTCTCTGTGTTATCTTCCGCAATGGTTGTTAGTTTTTCCCGCCTCCGCTTAGTAGGACGCAGATTAGTAACGTTTAGTAACATTTGTCAAGTATCAATGACGTGTAGGTCGGATGAATGCGACCTGGCCGTACAGACACAGGTCGCATTTGAAAAGATCAGATACGTATCGGATTCAGGACCACATATCCAAGTGGCCTGGGTCGCATTTGAAAAAATCCGATCTGTGTCGTTCAGACTGTCATAAAAAGATCTGATACAGGTCACATATGGGCAAAAAAATCGGAATCGGGTCACTTCAGGCTGCAGTGTGAACGTAGCCATAGACAGCCAGACACAAATAGAATTCATAGCGAATAAAACATTGACTGTGTTTTGAGAAATAAACTTTCAACAGTTTGAGGAGAAAAAGTTGGAACATTTAGCTGTGTGTTGGGTGTCTGATGATTGTGTTTGTGTTCTGGGAAGTGTGTAGAATCGAGATCAGTTATTTGAGTCATTGCTTTAAACTTGAGTAAGCTCATAGCAGCTTCTCTCGGGAGTGGCAGCCTAGTGGTTAGGGCACAGAGCTTTGAATCCTGAGGTTCTGAGTTCGAAACCCTCAACAAACTGCCACTCTGGGTCTCTGAGCAAGACCCTTAACCCCCAATTGCTGCCCAGGGGCCCCATGATGGCAGCCCTGCTCCCAAAGGGGATGGCTTAAACGCAGAGGCAAATTTCTCCAATGTGAGATCAATAAAGTTAAATTATTATCCACATATGAGAGGATAGATGAAGTGAAGACTTGGGTTTCAACCTTTGAACCTATCAGATCAAACTGTGGGTTTTGTTGCAATCTGTTTTTTTCTGTTTATTTTTTTATTTTTGTTTTGTATATAAACTGAGAAAGAGCAAAGATGGGCTGATAACCTCTTAAATCTTCAAAAACTAACAGGTGACTGAGCAAAACAGAGGATTTATTGAAGATAACTAAAGGAACTACTATACCACATGTTGTTCCTGCTTGGAAAGAGGCGGGTTTTGAGGGCAACTAACACAGACACCGCGACCTCCCTCTTCCCAGACATCTCCTCAAGGTGAAGCCTGAGGCTTCTCTAGGCAAGGTTGAGAGGCATAGTCCCTCCAACATGTCACAGGTCGTCCCCTGGGCCGCTTCACAGCATGGCTGGAAATCCTCCAGAGGAAATCATCCAGAGGCTCCACCACAGCTGGCTCCCCTCGATGTGAAGGAGCTCCTATACTCCAAGGTTAATACAGGGTACGGTGATAATTGAACTATACCGATTATCCAAAACAGCAACAACTAGCTCAACGACTCAGCCAGCAAACAGAAAGCTAAAATTATACCCACTGGCAGCCCCCTTCCTGCATGTTTTTAGGCCAAAAGAGAGAGAAAAAAAATCAAGGATGGGGAGTTACCAGAAGATCTCGGCAATTAAGTAAATCAAAATGTCCAAGATGAAAGAGAAATGTCCTCGTTTTTCCTGCGACAAAAATACTTTAACACCGAGCTGTTGTCACAACAGCTAATAGGACTGAACCAGCTAGAAATAATGAAATACCCCTGCAAAACAGATTTTTTTCCACTTCAGTATGAAAACAATGAATATAATCCATCTTCTCAGAACAATAATATTAAAAGAAACACAGTTAGATTAATTTAACTCAGCTTCCATTGTGATAGAATAGACGCCACAGAACTACAGATTTCTTTGAAAGAGCAGAGAGCAAAGAAAAGGTACAGGGCCAGAAAGTTTATCTAAAGATTCATTAAAGCCAGAAAAATTTATTTATAGACTAAACTGACTCTCCAGGAAAAGGGCCTGCTCTAAATCATATTCTTAAATATTTATAAGCCTCGTACAGTAAGTCCCAAACAAACATTGTCAGTGATTTGAATGACCTCTTAGCTGTTATATGTGTTGATTAATTATGTTGACTTATTTTGAGAGACTTAAGATTATTGTGTGTATAAAGTATATTGTATTTACTATATTGTATGCTTTATATTTGATATAGCTATATATATATATATATATATATATATATAAAATTTGTCTACACCATCAACATCGACTCAAATTCCTTGTAAGTACAAACCAACTTGGCAATAAACTTGATCCTGATTCAATTTTTGCATTAACAATCCTTAAAGGTATGGTAGAGGATTTTTAAAAGAACCGCCCTCTCTACTTTAAAAAAAAAAAAAAATGCACATCCACAACCCTGTACCCACTCAAGAGAGGGAACACCTATTTAACACATGCAAGAGCATGCACAAGCCCATCTGTTTAAAAGGTGCTGTTCTCATAGCTCATAC